GTGCAGACTCCGAGCTCCGCGCCAAAGCTCTCTACCCTCTACATGAGACTCCGCGACCTGCAACGCTCGCTGCAGTGCGGACTCGTTTGGACGTTCTATTTTCTGGACCGCTTCAATCCCCATCGACCAATGAGCGCGCACGTTCGAAAAAATCCGCGGTGCAACTACGGCCGGAGCGAGCCCCAGGCCCCGGAGCCGCCAGTCGCGGCGTCGCCAGCAACCGCTCGCTCCGGGCCCTGCCTCTCGCGAGCTCCGGCCTCTTTCTGCGCCGAACTGGACGCCCGCCATCGTCCGTCGCTCGCCTGTCGGCGTGACGCACCCGGACCCCGCTGCCTGGCCGCAGGCATTTCGCGCTCCAGCCCACGAGCGCCAGAGCTCCGAGTCTTCCGGCGAGTGAGCGAGTCGCCAGCGCGGCTTCCAGCATTTCCGCGGCCACATCACCTCGCCGTCCCGTAGCTCCAGGCCTCCCTGCTCGCTCCGCGTTTAGCCCCTGCTCGCCCCTCCCCGACGCCACTTGAAACTTTGCCGCATGCACGCCACGAGCTCCAGCACGCAGAGCGGAGGCAGCCCCGTCACGGAGGACGAGGAGTCCATGTCGCCCTTCTCGTCGCCATCCTCTGCCTCCACCAACGGCGCCAGCTTCGCGCAACTGCTGCAGCGCGCAGCGCAGACCGGGGACGTCAAGCAGATCGCCAAGCTCGTGCAGACGGCTCGCACCAGCGCGTCCTCTCCGTCTTCCAGCATTGACATCGCGAAGTGCTCCTCTTCATCCTCTTCGACGACCGCCTGGCTGGACGCGGCGGATGAAGATGGCTTTACGGCGCTCCACCTCGCTTGCGTCGGTGGTCACGATGATGCCGTGGATGAATTGCTGAGAGCGGGCACCCACTTGGAAGTCGCTACGCCTGAAGGATTCACGGCGCTCATGTTTGCGGCCTGGACAGGATCGATGCCCTTGGTGCAGACCCTCGTCTCGCACGGAGCGGACGTCATGGCTCGCGACGTGGACGGCAACGACGCCGCCTTCATCGCCGAGATGAACGAGCACGCGGACGTGGCCAAGTTCCTGGAGCGGCAGATGGAAAACCCCGAGGATCCGCCGAGGAAGCCGCACAGTTGGTCGTCATCGAAAAAGAGCGGGCAGGACCAGGACCTCGACTCCAAGTCCCTCGAGAGCTCCCCAGTCAAGTCGATAAAGTCCAGCGACTCCAGCGCTTCTACCGGGACTGAGGGCAGCGGTCTCGACAGCAGCAGCAGCAGCTCGTCTACGTGCTCGTCGCCCGAGCAGCTTGCAGGGAAGGCGCTGCTCACGGAGGAGTCGAGCCCTTCAGGCGACACTGACGGCGCCACGCCGTTGCACGTTGCGGCTATGCACGGGCAATTGGAGACCGTCAAGGTGCTCTTGGCTCGCGGCGCGAGTCTGTCAGCGGCGCTGCCTGGTGGGGCTACTGGCTTGCACTTGGCGTCGGCATCGGGCTTTGCTGATGTGGCCTCGTATCTGATTGACCAGGGTCTGCCCGTGGACGAGCGCACAGTGGCTGGCACGACTCCGTTGCACGAGGCTGCGTACCAAGGACACGTGGAGGTGGCAGCGCTGCTGTTGGAGCGAGGGGCTAATGTAGATGCCGCCACCGAGCGCGGCACGACGCCGTTGCACCGCGCAGCTGAAAACGGACACGTTCAAATTGCCGAGCTGCTGATCGCGCATGGAGCACACATCGACGCTGTGACGACGGACTACTTGGCTGCGGCTGGAGATGGCGATGCGGCGGACTTGAGTACGCGCCGGCGGCGACATCGGAGGCGAAAAAAACTGGTAGCAGCGGGAGCGGAAGGGAAGGCTTCACCCGCCGAAGAACAAGAAGCACCTGAAGTCGAGCCGCGAACTCCGGATGAGCTGGAAAAGGAGGCCTCTTCCTGTCGATCCAACCAAGTGGCGCTTTGCCTAGCAGCCAAGAACGGCCATCTCGACATGGTGCACTACCTGCTGACTCGTGGCGCAGCTAATTCAACGGACCTTGCTGCTCTTGAAGCATCGAGACACCCGATCATGCTGGCAGCTCGACGTGGTCACTTGGAGATCGTTCGTTTCCTGCTCTCGCACGACGAGTGCGCCTTCAGCTTGCCCGACGCAGCATCGCGCGTCCTGTGCACTGCCGCAGAACACGGTTATCTCCAAATGGTGGAGCACGCGTTGGCTCGCGGGGCCGACATTGAAGCTATCGGCGGTAAGAAGCAAGCCACGCCGTTGGTACTTGCGGCTCGACAGGGCCACCTGGCTGTTGTGCTTCACTTGTTGTGGGGCGGTGCGAAGCTGGATGCCGCAACTGCATCTACGGGCTACACTGCGTTGCATTATGCAGCCAAGCACGGACATCTTACGGTTGTCAACAGTTTGCTGCTCAATGGTGCTGATGTGGACGCCGTGTGTGCACAGCGCCACTCGTCGCCACTCCACCTGGCGGCCGAGTCTGGTCATGGCGACGTGGTGCGATGTCTGCTGTCATTTGACGCGAACGTTGACGCCGAGAAGCATCCGGGAACCATGACAGCGCTGCACATTGCAGCTGAACGTGGCCACGTCGGGGTGGCGCGCGAGCTCCTGGCGCACGGCGCTCAGCTGGAAGCCCAGGCGCAGAACGACCTGCGCGCGCTCTTCATCGCCGCCTACTGCGGCCACAAGGACGTCGTCGAGCTGCTACTGGACCACGGGGCCGAGCTGGAAGCGACGTCGGGGGCCAACAAGACCACATCTCTGCGAGGCGCCGTGTCGAAGAGCCGGAAGGAAGTGGTAGAGCTGCTACTTGCGCGCGGTGCCGATGCCAACGCGACACAGCCCACCGACGGGACTACCAGCCTGCACAGTGCAGCTGCGAACGACTTTGGGGACATCCTGAAGCTGCTCGTAGCTGCGGGTGCCGACCCGGACAGAGTGGATCGCGAAGGACGCACCCCCATGAACTACGCTGCATCCGATCCCGTGCGGTTGCAGCTGCGTCTTGCACTGCTGAAGTCTCACTGGCAGAAGCAGGATACCCGCGCGTAGTGGCCGTCCACCACCAGAGAAAGAACGGCAATGAGCGGGGTTTCGCGGACGCAAGCGAGTCCCGCTCGCTCGAGCCCAACTACGCCCTCCACTAAAAATTCCCACATGTTAGACCATGTACATGCAGAACGCCACCGAGAACGGGGCGTCTGACCTATCTGAAAACGATAATTTAATGAATTGGTGCGGAGCTTGAGCACCGCGTCGCAAAGTGTGTGGCAACTCATGCCAGTCTCACGACTCTTCGTCTCCCCTGCCACGGGGGGCATCGCTCACTAGCCGCACGTCCTGCCAGCACGGTCTTCTGGTACAGCCGGCAGATTTGGACGGAAGTTGCTGCACCTCCAGTATGTACGCCGACGCAAGAGAGGTCTGCGCGGTCCGCCGGCAAGCACCGGAGACCGAGTCGGTCACCGACAGCACCGTAGCTGTCACGAACGTGGGCCTGCTGACGTACGTTCGGCGCGTTGGTAACGTTGCAGTTGCGCAGTTTGGTCACGTCAACGAGCCTGCGGCGCTGAGCTGCCAGAGGCTCCCCTGATCGAGTTCTGGGCTTCTGCCGGCCGGCCTGCCCTGACCGGCGTGCTGGGCGGGCGCCTTGGCTGTTTGAATAGCAGCCGATCGAGCGCCAAAATGAGGGCGTGGACACGCCGACCGCAGTTTGCCCATCAGCGCCGTCCGCCAGCGCTGTCATCCGCTGTACCGAATTACCTATGTTATCACCTTCTACACGTTATGCCAAACACCCCCTAATTGACCAATCACAGGCGTTTCGGGAAGACTGGTGTGCACTGCCCTTTTATAGTGACTCACTTGATATTTGTATTGAAACGCGTTTTCTATGCATTTGCATGGCTAGCCAGGGCACCGAAATTTCGACTCTATAGAGTTCGCTAAAGTGTATGACATAACATAGTTAATTCGGTAATAACGCGCTGCGCTGGATCAGTCTCTACGGGGACGTGGAAGGGCGTGGATACACACCGCGCCCGCATTACGCCCACGGGTTTCGCGCCCCATGTGGCGGCGCCACATCGTGCTTGTCAAAATCTGCAGGTTGCAGACGGCCACGGACCCGAGCTGGAAGCGGTCAGGCTCAACCCAAGGCTGGCCTGCCCGGCGTTATACACTGCAGCCGACAGCGCGCTCTCTCTACTGTACCGTACGATATGTACTTTAGACGCGCCCGCGGCGAGGGCGCTGCCAGCAGCGGCCCAGGCAGGGCGGCACGCTTCGCCGCGAGAACGGGCCGGCCTTGCACGGCCCCCGCCTGCATCCTGAATTCCGCGACTGCAAGGTGAGCCGGTCACCGCAATCGCCTAGAAGTCAGAAATTGTACTTGGCTCTGTATGCCCCGAACCGGCTCGCTTGTCGCACGGGCACAGCTCGCGCTCTGCACGCCATCTGCCGGGCCTGCAGATCAGCGTCTGGTCCTCGCAGGCGGGCCACTGGCTGCTGGCAAGCATGGCAAGAGCTTTCAAGATGCCGCCGAGGATAAGCTCATTTCCGAATTTTCTATCTGCCCACCCAAGCAGCTAGCCTCTACTCCCGACCCCGTCAGTACCATGAAGTTCGCCGCCTTCGCCGCCACCGCCGCCACGCTCGTCGCCGTCTCCAACGCCGCCGCTTGCGACGTGACCTCGCTCCAGACGCTGCTGACCTCGTCGGACACTACCACGTGCGCGTCGGACTCGGGCTACACGGTCACCTCGCTGGCCACGCCCACAGACGCCGAGATGAAGATCATGTGCACCAGCACGGCCTGCCAGTCGGTGCTCAACCAGCTCGAGACGCTCGCCCCGTCGGAGTGCACCCTGGGCGCGTTCGCCCTGTACGCGGACCTGATCACCCCGCTGACCAACTACTGCTCGGGCGCTTCGTCGACTGTCGGCTCGTCGGCCACCACTGCCACTGCCGGCTCGTCGGCCAGCACTACCGCTACCGTGGGCTCGGCCGCCGGCTCCAGCACGTCTGCTACCGTGACGACCAGCTCCACGGGCTCGGCTGCGTCGACCCCCGCGACGTCTTCGACCTCGTCGACGACCTCTAGCGGATCCAGCACTTCGCAGACCGCTTCGTCCTCGTCGGCCGCGTCGGCTGCCGCCTCGGCCTCGGCCAGCAGCAGCGCCAGCATGGCCGCCGTGTCGGCCGGTGCCGTCGTCGCCGCCGTCGTCGCCACCTTCTTCTAAGCGTAGCAGCCTATGAAGGCCGGTTTTGGCCCCATTATACGATTATATAGTGTCCACGTAGCGGATTCGCTACTGCACCTTCACTTGAGCGTTCCCCCTTGGCCCTCTGTCCTGCTTACTCCCAAAGTTTTGTCGCGGTGCCAATTCGACATATTTGTATGGGAGCCACCCTACCCAATGGGAAATCCGAGCGCGCGTCATATGTCGCGTGTAAAGCAATCTGATTGGAGAAACCTATCGAAGTCACATCCTACAACTCCTTCTAGAAGCTGAGATATTGTACAAATGTCGCTGTCCCAAACCTTTTGTCGCGCAGTGTAACTTGCAGTGTCAGAGATTGCTTTTGCTGTTAGGTGAGTCGCAGACTTGGTGTCGGCGGTGAGTTTCGCCCAGGACACAGCAAAATCAAGCAACGACAAGTTCTCCCCCAAGTGCCCGACGAAACCGCAGTGTCGGCATCCGTTTACGAGCTCGAGCGGAGGCGTGCCAACCGTAACACGGCTGGAGGAAGTGACCGAGCGCAGGGGGTTTACGCCAGCGAGGCTCGAGTGGAAATGCAATCCTGTGGTGAATCCAAGTGAGCTTCCGTCCGGTTGCACTGGACCCAACTACTATACATAGGGATCGCTGGCTCCATCACCTTTGCTCTGGCTGGCGAACGAGACCCCCCCCCCCCCCACACACACACACACCGAAACAAAAGAGAAGGCATGGTGGCTCAGCGAGGCCGCCGCCGCGCAGCATGGCGCTTAGGCTTGCACTGCTTTGCGTACATCTTGCCGCCGTGATATCCGTTCAAACCGCCGGTAATTCGTGCCGATACTGCCCCATCGCCATGGCTAGATGCTGACCTTGCCATGCCTGCTTTCAGGCGACGCCTCCTCTCTTGATGCGGACACAAGTACAGGTTCGAGCGACGCTACCTCGACTCCAGTAGCGACGACTGCGACGCCTACCACCACAACACCAGCGACTACGGCCCCGGCAACGACAGCTCCGGCAACGACAGCGCCCGCCACTACAAGCCCGACACCCACGACAACTGCGCCCGCGACTACAGCGCCAACCCCCACCACCGCAGCTCCGACCCCGACGACTTCAACTACTACGGCTCCAACGCCGACGACCACCACAGCCCCCACTGCGACGACCGAAGCCACGTCTTCACCCGCGGCGACGACGGCGGCGCCCGTGGTGGAGCACTACAACTCGTCCACGCTGCCTCCTGGAGTCGACTCCAGTATGCTCGGCGGCGACGAGCTCGTGACGGTGGAAGTCACGGAGACGACGCTGGGGGACGGCACCACGTCGTACAGCTACGTGATCATCACAAGGAGCGGCGACACGGAGAAGACGATCGTCTTGAGCCCGACGACGGCCAGCTCGGGCAGCAGCAGCAGCAGCAGTGGCGGCGGCGCTGAGAACAACACCGCTGCTGCTCAGTCAGGCAGCTCTCAGTCGGACGCCGGCACCGTCTCCAAGTCGTCGAGCAGCTCGGTCGGCGTCGGGGCGATCATCGGGATCATCGTGGCGGCCGTGGTCTTCATGCTCGTCGTGTTCGCGTTCTTCATCGCGCAGCGGCGGCGCAATAAC